ACATAAGGGCCTGGTCAAGCAGAAGTAAACAGCAAGGTCAAAAATTCAAGTTAATGCATCTGATATAAAAATGTATTCAACAGATACATATGTACTCTAGTTTATGAAACTGTTGACCTTTTTTCTGTACCATTTTTGGTTCTAAAGTTACATAAGTTTTAAACAGACCATGTATGAAACATGGAACAAAAAATATTTCCCAAATTTCAAAGACCTGCAAATCATGTAAATAAATGGATGTATTTCATCATATCTTGTGTTATTCCATCTTTGAACTGTTGATGAAGGTACATGATTTTTCCAAAAAAAATGTATTTAAAATGATAAAAATTAGCTTGGAAGGACTGACATATTTTATAGAAATAGTTTCCTTTCATTTTGAAGTAATATTAAAGTATTCAGAAGAAAAAAGCGACAAATGATGCAAAATCCTGCACCTTCTACTTGTTTGCACAATTTTCCCTCTGTTACTTTTCCCTCCGTTACCATGACCTTTCTTAATAAAAAATCTCATTACTCAAAAAGTAAGAGGTTTTTCAACCTAATCTTGTACCATATGGTAGAAAACTATATGAAGCAAATATTCAAACCAGTTTGTTAAGGATATGTAAGTGAGAACCAAGAGTTATCACTGTTTGTATTTATTGGCCAAAAAGTGCTGCATATTTCATTCCCTCCGTTACCGACATGAGTTTTTAAATTTTTTTGTCAACAACTTGAAAGAATATCACAGGTTTAACTTTACCCTGTTGGAGTTTTAACTCTTTCCTACATTCTGATACTTATTTCAATAGTCCCTCTAGTTTCTGAATAAGAGCTATTTGAATGTCAAAAATCTGACCCTGTTTCCCTCTGTTACCGCTTGACTGGACCCATAAGTGGTGTTACAATTAATGAATGTCCTAATATCAAAACTTTGACCTGATGTAATGTCCATGAAGGAGTTAGTCTGTTGTACGTGATCACGATAGGTAAATTTACCACTTCTCTGTAGCCTCACTTTGCTTTTGTACTTCCCTCTTCCTGCTGAAGTCTCCTAAAATGGTTTTCACTGCACAGTCAGAGTCAAGAAATGCAAAAAGGGTGGCTGTTGTTTTTTGTTTGCTTCATTTTGTACGTGCACATCCGTGAGTCCATTCATGAGTGAGAATCCGCAATGCAAATAATCATGGAAATAGAGAAGTTTAGAATGTTCCAAAGTAGAGACTAAGCATATCTACCTCAAGGAAGAAAACTATAGGCTACATTACAGGTCAGATCTATGGAGAGACGACCCTATTTACAGAGAGAATGATAGTATTTTTGAGGAGGTGGAGTAATTTAGTGCAGGACCGCCACTGACACATTGCCCCATAGTCCCAGAACCTGCCCTCACTGACCCTGCAGGACCATTTTGGCAGTACTACACTCAGAGGTTTTGTAACAGGTTTTTAAATAGGCTCACATCTGGGTCATCCTGTACAACCCAAACAAAAAACTATTTCCAGTTACACGTTTTATTCTGACTCTGTTGTTTCCCTGTTCTTGTAACTCAGTGGGTTGTCCAAACTTTTGACTCATGTCACAACGGATTCCAGGCACTCCAAAACAGTAGAAAAAGTTAACACATCGCACTATTTGCACCTGCAGCAAACAGCCACATTTTTGTTCTTTTGACTCATGTTGTTTAAACGGACACTACCAGTTAAAAAGTTTGGACACACCATCTCACTCAATGTTTTTATTTGCTTATTTAGTTATTTTGTGCAACTTTTTACATTTTAGATACAAGCAGAAAACATCAACTATATGAAGCAAGATAAATGGAATTATATAGTAAAGAAAAAAAGATAAATAACTCGACAAAGCAAAGGATGACTACTATAAATCCATATATCTTACTTCATTTATTTGATGTCTTCTGTGTCAAAAAGCAACTAATAAAAGCTGCTGAAAGTGTACTGTCTGATTTTGCATTGATTAAGAGAGTTTAGGATGTAATATTATATGCATTTCAATATTTACTTCATTTAAAAATCCTACATTAGGCAAAACTGATTCTTGTGTTGTGAGATTTAAGCCATACTAGAATGGGCTAACCTCCTCAGAAACATACCTAGAGTTGTGTTTTGTTTCATTTACATTCATGTTTCAGTAACTCCAAAGCTCAAAATGCGCTGTTCCACCTTGTGATGATATGTAGTGATAATTTTCTAGGTAACAGTTTCTTGTTGTCTAGAATTTGCATGCTGGTTGCTTCCGTGGAACTGTTTTTTTGTATTCCACAGTTGAATAAAGTCTGTCTGTTTCCATTAAGTTGTTTTAAGTTTTGATTTCTGAGGAATCATGCAGGTCACGTACCTCCTCCAGAAAATTACATTACTTTTACACCCACAATGTTTTTATTAATTTTTTTGGTAAAGAGTGAAACTAATATACATACATTTTATTTATCTTGGTGTTTTACTGTCGTTTTCACATGTATAGTGTTATCTGTTTTTTCTGTTTTGTTGACTTTTAAGTGAAGCACTTTGGTCAGCCGAAGTTGTGTTAAATTAAAATTGAAAATAACCACAACAGTCTAGAATTAGAAGTTAATTGCAATCCTTGGTCTTCCCCTGTGTGCTGTACTCAAATACCAAAGATCAGAAGTAATGCATCTGAACACTGAATCATCTTTTCAGTAAATTTAACACCAGTCTGAACATAAAAGCACTACTTTAAATAATTAATCAAAAATAACGAATTCCCACAAATGAGATGAGTTCTTGAGGCCTCTGTTTTCCCAGACTAACAGCTGGAAAAAATTCCTCCAACCAAAACAGTGGAGTCTCTGAATGGGCCCAGATGTGGAGCGGGCTGCACACTTCCTGGCACACTGGCATTTTCAGGAACATGCACCAGACACACGCTCTAGACTACAGAGACGAAGAGTAATGGGTGGAGGCCTAAAGATGTCCAGACTATGATGTAGTCAGTCGTTTTCACCAAAAGATGGAAAAAGATGAGACACTGCAGAAGAGAAGGGAAATATACAGTTCACTTACATACAAGCTTGATTATGTTGACATATGAGATAAAAAAAAAAATAATAATACAGAGGTAAGTAAACTAGATATTACTAAAAATGTATGTAAAATTTCAAATTGTGTCTAATTTTGTGGAGTCAAAACTTGAATGAATCAGGCTTAGAATTACATATCGTTTGGTACAATCCATCAAAACATAATAAAATATATGAATTATTAGATAAGAAGCGACAGTGGCTCAGATGTTAGAACAGTGGTCCGCTGAAGGTTTGAGGATCGATTCCCACTCGGACCCATCCATCCATTTTCTTCCACTTATCCGGGGCAGCAGTCTAAGCAGAGACTCCCAGGCTTTCTTCACCCTAGACACTTCCGACCCCAAGGTGTTCCCAGGCCAGGCAAAAGACATAGCCCCTGGGTCCTCTCAATGTGGAGGAGCAGCAGCTCTACTCCAAGCTCCTCCTGTGTGACTGAGCTAGTCACCCTATCTCAAATGGAGTGCCCAGCCACCCTGCGGAGGAAACTCATTTTGATCCTCTTGTTCTGATCTTGTTCTTTCAGTCATTACCCAAAGCTCATGACCATAGGTGAGGGGAGGAACGTAGCTTAACTAGTAAATTGAGAGCTTTGCCTTTTGGCTCAGCTCTCTTCACCACAACAGCGACCTCATCACTGCTGACGCTGCACGCCCACTCAGACCCATTTCTGTCATTGTGTCCTCAGGCAAGACACTTCACACGCCTTGCCTAGTATGAAAGTGCGAGAGTGAGCGCTGGTGGTGATTGGAGGGACCATAGTTTGTAAGTTTAGAGATAGTTGTATGAAAATGTATATGACACCTATAAAAGTGCATCACAAAACTTTTCTGGTGGTTATGCTACTAGACAAGCAGGTTGCGCTGCTAGACCAAGTTACAGGTCAGATCTGTGGAGAGGTGACCCCGCTCACACTAAAAATGTGACCTTAGAAATACCTTCAAAACCATTTTTTTTTAAACAACAAAAAACAGCTGTACTAAAACTCTATGTGCCATGTGATGTTTTTAAGTAATCCGAGGACATCGTGATCAACATGTTTACACATGCCCAGCAGCAGGACATTTACCCATAATGCATCAGATACCTGAAAATACAACTCTCCACCAGCCCTATAGGCTTCATCTGTTCAAGTGCGTCACTGCTGTCATCACCACTAAAGCAGGACAAGAGGAAAACTCAGCCTGTAAATGTATCTTACAATGAATCAGTGGATGAGAGATTTATTTTCAATTAGGGCATATTTCCTTCTGGACAGTCCCAGCTTTGACAGGGCAGGCTCCTGTGTACTGCAGCAACAGTACCAGGGAATAATTAAGGCCAAACTGACAGATGAAAGCAGTTATGGGAGAGGGGAGAAAGGAGAGGGGAGACTGGAGAGACGGGTACTGGTTATAATGATGAGAAATGAGAAAAGAGAGAGGGGAGAGAGAAGAGAGAGGGAGGTACTGGTTATATTGGAGGGAGAGAAGGGGTAGGGGAAAGAGAAGAGAGCAGAGAGGAGACTCAGGTTCTCAGGGGGTTACTGGTTATAATGGGGTTTATTGCAGAAGAATCAGTGACGACAATTCACAAGAGAGGCTGGACACTAATGTTGTAGTCTCTGTTGATTTAAGTTATTGCCTGAGATACTGAGGCAGGAACAAAACTGATACAAGGTAATGCGGTGAACAGTCAGATGTTAGTGTATGAAAATAATAGAGTGTATAAAGAAGTGGGAGTGTGACGTCACCCACATTCAGCTCACGATGCTTGCAGTTATAGAAACGAATTTGGAGCTGAGTTCTACATTAGGAATAGGAACATTTAACACCAAAATGATGAAGCTCATTTAGCAGCAGTTACATAGAGAGGGGCAACACTTTTGTTAAATCAATTGGAGCCAGAGTTAATGGAGCCAGAAGCGCTCCCTTGTTCACTTCCTATTTGACACGTTTGAGCAGCTCTGCATTATTAGGCTGTCTGCAAAGCTCCGAAGCTTAAAATGCTCTGTTCATGAAGTGGTAGTCATGTTCAGTAGAGATTGGTAATTCCAGGGGCTGAAATCATCCAAATGATCATCAAGTGAAGGCGCATGGAGTTTAAAACGGTGGAGCACTTCCTGTATAACCACGTGACATCACAAGGTGGAACAGTGTTTTCTGTGTGAGAATCGAACTCGTTAAACACGTGTGAATAAAATAAAACACAAATCCTGGTAAACATAGATCAGAGCGTAATATGAGCAATGAATATTAAATGACCTCTTTTTAAAGGCTTTCTTAAGATGTATATTTTGTGTTTATTTTGCATTAAGATAAGTTCTAACCATATTTATACTACTACTACCCAAAATATCAAGTGCAGTTATAATTTGATTGTAAATTATAGTCTAATACTGCCCTCTAGTGGTCAAAACACTTCACTACAAACCAGCTCAAACGCATTTCCTGTTTCCCTTTTATTCGTGTGCACTGCACTTGTTCATATGTACATCCTGTAAACAGAACTGAAAGGAACACATTTTACACATTATTTTAGTAATACTTGAACAGCAGACAGGCAAACACATAACAGACAGTACAGAGGACCCTCCTAACTGGGATCCCCGCCCATACAATCGACTCACACCCTGGGACTACCTTATACTATAGAGGCTAACTTAGCAGTAAGATCAGAGAAAGAGAGGGGAGAGGAGGGGGCAGAGATTGTTAACATGGTCTTTCCTGGTTCATATTTCCATACAGTAACCAAACAATGTCAGTCAGAAAGACAATATGATGAAATGTATTGCTCTAAAAACGTAAATAAAGTGATAAAAGTTAAAACTGGGCCTCAAATATTGCAGCATTCTATAGGCTGATAATATTTAAAGGTGCACTGTAACTTTTCTGGTGGAGGTGTTCGCCAAAGGCTTTTCTCTGTGCAGATGTTATTGCTTTGTCTGGAATGTTTCACAGTATAACATTAAGTCTATCTATTTTTACAGAGACTAAACCAGACCAAGTTACAGGTCAGATCTGTGGAGCTCAAAGTCAGAATGCGTTTTTCTAAGCATTTTTTGAGCTTTAAAACCACCTGTAACTGAATAAATATAAGGTAGATCTGTTTAATGTCATACTGTGGAACATTCCAGGCAGAGCAATGACGTATCCATAGAAACGAGCAGCTAACAGACCCCTATCCAAAAAGTTACACAGTGCAATACATTTGAAATACACTATGTTCATTACTAGCCCTTCATGCCAGATTGATATGCATAGGTTTCAGTTTTCTGTTGTATGCAATTTTTTCCCTGACTTTTTTCCCCATTCAAAAGATAAAATATTTCATTTTAAATTGTTAATCACTATGGTAACGGTCCTAACAGTCATCATTCTGAAACCTACGGATATAAAAACACTGCTATGCTTAATATTAAATCATAATAAAATCAGACAGTCAGTTCGGTTAGTAATCCTACATTGTGAATTCAAGTCACTGGTCGCCATAACCTTATAACATTACATGATATTATTTGTGTTACTGATTTAAAAAAAAAAGATTTAAATTAATAATAAATAATAAACAAAGTGTCAGTGTAGTCGTGAGATATTGAAAAAAAAAAAAAACAACTACAATTGAAATGCCAGAAATTAAAAATACATGATAATCTCTTACAGCTTTCTTATAATATTTCGCAATTTACAAATGATTATTGCATTGATGATATGTTGAAAACATGTGAATAAATCTGTATTTTAGTGTTGGAAGCATTGTTATGATCACACATGACATTTCCACATTTCATTCAAGTACAGAAACTAAAAACAGTAGTTCAGATGCAGACAAAAATAAGTTAAAATAAATTAATTTCTGTCAAAGCTGTGATGTGCTTTCATAGAGTTGGTCACTTGTTATTATGTAGTTGTATACTGTGCTGTTTGGCTGCTAACTAAACATAAAGATAAACTCCAAAGAATGAATAACGCACAAGATAGGCCAAGTTGACAAATGCGTAAAGAGTTTATCATTAATATAAGTTGTAAGGCCTGAAAATTCAATGGTATTTTACTTCAGTTTGTATCAGAAAACATAGACTGTATATATAAATGGACATACAAAACCCTCTAGCTGTCACGTTCCAAATAGGAAATGAATGTGGTGAAGCTTCCGGCTCCATCGACTTGGCTCCAATTGACTGAAAAATTGTCACTCCTCTCTGTGTAACTGCTGCAGTGAGCCTTGTCATTTTAGTCTTAAAATCTTCATATTAACCCGCTCTACATGACCCTGGTGTTTTTATTGTATATATTTAATTTTCTTATTTCTTTTCTAAATTCTTATTCCTAAAATGGAACTCTGCTCCAAATTCTAACTGCAACCCTCGATGAGCTTCATTTGACTGGATCCGAACGCTGTGGGTGACATCGCACTTCTTTATACCGCCTATGCTTGAAGATAATCCCTAATTTGCAATTTAGTGTATATAATAAACCCTAGAAGTTATTTATTTTTTTACCAGAAGTACCACTCAGACACTGTCAAATGAGTTTTATCAGAATCTGACCCAATATTTTCCCTTAATTTTCTCATCATAGCCTATTTAAAGACGCCTAATACTACAATTTATTTGTAAGACACTTGCAATTCCATAAATGAATCTACATACTTTCAAACCCTTTATATAAAAATCCTTTTCAATGGATTTTATGTAATTATCTGGACAGGAACAGGAAATCTTGTTTGTTTGTTTCATTTGGACCTATCTTGCTGACAAAAAATATTACAAATGAAACGCCTATGACTGTTTTGATCACTGTTAAAAGCTATGGTTAACAACTCACTTCCTTAATTATGCATCACATGACCAAGGAATCCCAATATTCTCTGCTCTGATTGGTGGGTTCAAGTTTTGGGACACTGAAGGAGGAAAGTAGTTGTTGCACACATACCTACAGTACTTTAGAGCTATATATAGTCTTCAATATCAGTTTTTGTATCCACTTTAGCTGCTATTGTTTCCTTCTGTAGTCCACTGTAGTCCACTGTAGTCCAAGAGCCAGTTGGTTTGTAGCAGGGGAACATATAAAGGCAGATGTTTCAGGGTTGTGGCTGTAATGGATGAGACTTCTGGAGGAGGATCTCATCAGTAAAGAGGTTTCTGTCCTTGGCTTTCAAATTCCGACCAAGCGTCATTCAGTTCCATGAAAATCATCTTGGCATATTGTTCATAGGGCTGTCCTGTAGCCTGTTCAGAAGGAAAAATAAATACATGTTAGTATAATAGTATACACAGTAAATTGATGGTAAATGGTAATGGTAAATCTCATATATTTTTTATCAGCAATTATATGCACCTCTCCTCCCTCCATTCTTCATAAGATACATGATACATAACGATACTGCCCTAATTTCTCTTCTGCAGGGGGCAAACTCTTAACCAGGCTGGCACCACCAAGTGCCTCCGCTCAGTTTCATTTCTCTCCAGCAACTAGGTCAGGAATCAAAATACAATAGACGGTTTGCAAAAACCCGGAAGTGCAAGTTCGGGCACCAGCCAATCAGCCAAGAGCCATACATTTTGTGTGGTCAACGATTCCCGAGATCAAGGATATAAACCCAGAACAAAGAGAATGTTTGGGGAATTTCATCAAGGGGAAAGACGTTATTGCCCTTCTTCATACAGAATTTGGGTAAAGCTTTATATACCAGTTAGCCCTGTTAGAGGCACATTACATACATGACTCCCAAATAGCAGCGATTGGTTAAATGATAAAAAGTACCCACCTACCGTCGAGCGAACGAATTCTAACATTGCAAGGTCAGACGGTTTCTATGAAGTGAAACCGGCTGATGAATCAGGCTAGCAAACTCTGACCATGGCCAAGCTCTACCTGCTTTCATTAAATGGTGTGATAATAACCATTTGGATTTAAATGCGGCTTAAACCAAAGACATTGTTTTGGACTTTTGGAAAAAAGTGCATAATCCAATAGCAAGCTTTATCCACGGGGAAGCAGTAGAAATGGTGAACTCTTACAAGTACTTGGGGACTGTGTTTGATTCCTCCCTAAGGTTTGATAAGAACACTGAGCAAATGATCAAACGAGGGCAGCAGCGGGTTCACTCGATAAGGAAGCTCAGCTCTTTCAATGTGTCATCTAACATTTAAAATAAATTTTATCATTCTTTATCGAAAGTTTGCTGACTTTTTCTTTTATTTGTCAGTTTTATGGGTTATCTGTGAAAGATAAGAACAGTCTGGAGAAGATAGTAAAAGTGTGTGGTAGAATCAGTGGTGTTTAGATGGAGACATAGGGCACTCCAAAAGACTAAGGCCATACTGAGTCAGCCTAATCATGTACTGCTCTCACAGTGTGTGCAAATGCCCTCTGGGAGACGATATGTCACCTCACAACAAAGGACCAACCGTTACGCTAAATCTTTTATTCCTTCTGCCATAAAGCTTAAATGGAAAGTAAATTTGCTACTGTGTCCCTGATTTGCTGAGGTTTGAATGTATGGCGTGTGTTGTATGTATTCGATTTTCATTTTTATTTTATTTAATTATGGATTGTGCACGACCAGAGATGTGTGAACTGAATTGACCTTTGGGATTAATAAAGCTGTTGATTAATTGATTAATAAGGATGGGACAAAAGTGCCACAGCACTGCACACAATAAAAGGAAAATGATCTACATTTTTCCCCATGAAGGCAGCTGAACAAAAAGAGGAAAAAAAATAAAGTAGCATTACACATTTTTTGTATTTAAATCTAACTCAAATGCGTATCAAAGTTTGTCTTTCCTCTTTTCAACATTCAGTGATTACTCTGTGATTACTCTGTTGATCACATCTAAACCACTCAGTAATGTTATTGTAATGCATGATTTACTTCAAACTAATTGACTGAATGGTGGGTGAAACCAAACGTGTTTCTGTTTTCTGATTGGCTGGAGCCTCTATATTTATCAGGACATGTTTTTTATTTTTCATTTGCCAAGAGACCACAACCTTAAACTGGTAAGAAAAAAAAGGCTATTTTTATGGATTATTTGTATCAACACTAAATAACGTAAAATATTTAGTTTTAGCTCATCTTTTCTAATTTGTTATTTTCTTGTTACAGATGAAGATACTCTGAAGTTTGGATATCTGGACCAGTTTTTCTAGCATAATGTCTCCAAGCGCAATCCTTTCTTTACTCCTCAATATTTTGGTTAGTACCATAGCTGCACCGGGCAATACCGATGTTATAAATGACGTTAATATTTTTTTAACAATGGCCTGGCAAGTCGCTAACCACATCAGACCAAACTCCAGCTGCTACGTTTGCGGTCTGATGCCTTACACAGCCGCAGAAGGACTACCTCTTATGGGTTTACCAGCTTCGGACTGCGACACGTGTCATCTTCTCCACGTCCACGCTCCCCAGTCTTACTCCCACCCCGACTGCCCCAAAATGCCCAAAATGCGTCCGTTAAACTGCTCTTCCTCGTATAGCAACTGCAATAAGTGCGTGAAACCTCCTGAACCTGTTCCTATACAACTTTTGCCCAAACCGTTAAAATGGTGCCTTGAAAATAACGGCAAGACTGTAGTCGGCGAGTCTAACTGCGTACGGACTTTTAAATGGGACCCTGAACACAACACGAAGGATTTCCCCGTTGTGAATGCACCTCCAGATCAGTGTTTAGAAGAAGCTGGAGCGGAGCATCTTAGCAACCTAGTGCACAGAACAGCTACTTGCTCCATCTCCTCGCCCACTGGGATGTACTGGGTTTGTGGTAACCTGGCATACCCCTACCTTCCCATAGATTATAAAGGCAGATGCGGACTAGCGTATGTCGTCCCAGCCATGCGTATTGCACATAAACTCCCAGAAAAGCTGCAAAGAAAGAGAACAAAGCGAGGAACTTCGGATATTTTCGGAACGCATCACCAATCGTCGTTCAAAAATAGTCTCGGAGCGCTACTTCCGGTCTATGGGGTTATGTCAGCGCTGGATCAGATTTCGGACTTGTCTCACGCCATAGAGACGATTGCCAACGAAACAGGAAGGGCCCTACAGCTGATGTCGAGTGAACTAGCGTCGGTTAGGTTGCTCGCTTTGCAAAACAGAGCTGCTTTGGATTTTCTGTTGGCGGCACAAGGAGGGACTTGCGCCATCATCGGGCAAGAATGCTGCACGTTTGTTCCGGAGTATAACGCTACCATCAATGATATAGTGAATCATTTATATAAGACGGGTCAGTCCGTGCAGCAGAATACCTCTTCCTCCTTGTTTGATTGGCTGACTCCCACTTTTGGATCCTTCACTCATCACTTAGTGGAGGGTGTGATTATTTTGATCGTGGCCCTTGTGGTTTTATCCATGTTTGTATCATGTGTTAAGAAGTTCCTTTGCAATATTTCTTGACTTGCATTATGATTTGATTATGATTTTAAGAGATTTGGTACTGCTTTAATTGCTATAATGTTTGTGAAGTTCTTTCAAATAAAATATAAGGCACAAAATATAAGGTATTACTAACTGTCACTAAAATTATTGAGAACGACTGAGAAATGTAACAACACTCAAAGATTTTCCAAAATAAAACCACAAAGTATATTTTCCTTCACTGTGTATTTCTTTTTAAATCCTTTGATTCTCAGGTAATCAAGGCAATGCCCATAAGTGCTACATATTCAATGTAAACTGCAAAAGACAAAACTATAAATTGGACCATTATACATCATAATATAAAAGCTTGAAAAGGCATGTGTTGTTTCCTCACACGCTGACCTATATATAACTTTTAGCACATATCATCTTGCTTTGCACATTTGCACAAAATCCCTGAAACACAGTCCTCAGTTGCAGCTCGGTTCACTGATTAAGAGTAAACCTGACTCTGACATTAGTCTCACCTTGTCCGGGTGCACCACAAGCACGGCCTTTCTGTAGACCTTCTTGACCTGCTCTGGAGTGACCAGGTCGGCCATGCCCACAGGCTTCCAGCGCGTCTCCCCCTCCCACAGCACCGTGTGCATGGTGGACAGCAGAGCACGAATGTTACGCTCTTTGCCCTCAATCCAGTCCAAGATCTGACACACACAAGAGAGAAAAACACACACACAAGAGAGAAGGATTAATGAGAATTACTTTTTTCTTGGAACACACAGTAGCAAATGCTTTTTTTTTTTAACAAATGTTTTTTAGTTTTAAAGGGCAATACGATATACAACATACAATATCTTGTTTCTTTTAGAAAAAGGTACAAAAGGACAAAGAGGTATTGTAATAAATACCTTACCTTTAATAAAAAAAAACCCTGCACCTTTGCTTTACGATGCAGCGTGCATGTTTCTCACATTACTACATAAAGGTATAGATATAGAATTCTTTTAAAATGTTAAACTTTTTTGACTCTAAAAAATCACAGATTTATAAGGACCACTTTTCTAATTCTAATGCAAAAAACAGTTACTTCTACAATAGATCTCTCTCTACAGATAACAAAGCCCATACAGTATTAGAACTGTGTTTTGTTAATGAGAACTGCTGCAGCTTTCCAACCATAAATGGTACTCTGAACTAGCTTCAGATTAAAGCCTCATACTGTACCTTTATTTTCTCCGGGTCCATCTCTTTGGCCATCTCCTCCTTCCTCATCTCTGCTATTGTCCTGGGGCCCTTCTTCTCTTTGGTCCCTGCGAAGCCCTGTCCAGACAGCAGGTCATCAAAGTTGGCTTCAGACACTTTGGGCTTCGCACCTGGAGAAACAGACAAACAATAAAGAGATCTCAATGTGTGTTTTTAGTCCCACAGACCTGGTAATAATCAGTCCACTTAATGAATGTAAGTCAATAATTTGCCAATAAAAAGCTTTTCTTATATCATATTCTAAAACAGAATAAGATGTCAGTCTGCACTAAAGTTGTATTTCCCAAATTGATTTTATCAATGTATATACACTGGTATTTTTAAAAATTTTAAATTAAAGTATTTTTAGGAAATTGTAGTAGGACACTTGTGCATGTGTGCTCTATGTTACCTTTCTAATATTTAACATAGTGTGCCTTTAAAGTAAGTTAAAAGATGACATCACAGCATTTAACTGAGACAGGGGCACTCAAAAATGACTACTTCTGATATGCAGATTTGGGGTTTGATAAATACAGCAAGTTTGTGTAGCTGGACTTGAAAAATTCTTAGGTTTAATATTTGTGAATTTCTAATTTGTAAATTTCTCATGACCTGATGCTCATGCTCACCCATGTTAGCCTGTGCTTTGCCCGCTGCACTGGGCGACCCTCCACCCATGAACACGTTGTAGTTGGGTCTGTTTTGTGGCGAGGTGTGGGGCATGGAGGCGTGGCTTGGACTGGGTTTAGGCTGGGGGGCAGTGCCTGCTGCTTGTGGCTGCCATCCAGTCCCTGCTCCGGCTCCTCCGCCTCCGGGCTGCCAGGACGGAAACCCTGCTCCTGTGTGAGGCTGCCAGGCTCCGGTGTGCTGTGGTGAGGGAGGGGGGCGCGACGGAGAGCCCATGGGGGGGAAGGACGGGGTGGAGCCGGTGGGGGTGGTGGGTTTACTGGAAAAGCCTGATCCTCCTGAAGTGGAGAAAGTTAGTTACAGGCATTTCGAAAAAGTTATAGCTGAGTATGAAGTTTAAGTTTAAACATACACTGTGTAACTTTTTTGGTGGACCAGACTTGCCTGTCTGAGTTTTGCCTCGATTATTCCACAATATGCAAATAAACTTGGTAATCACAATGAAGACAGGTTAATAGATATACAGAGAAGCAAGCCTGTATGGTAAGAATTCACATTTTTTTTAAGGTATTTGCGAGCTATAAATCTACCTGTAACTGGACAAATGCAAGGGAGATATCTTAAATCTCCAACTGTGGAATAATACAGGCAAAGAATAACATCTCTATGGAGACAAGCGAAGAGCCGACCCTCCACCTTAGAAGTTACAGAATGCACTTTTATGATATACTTTAACGTCCCTATATTTGTCTTCTGCAACTTGCCGACTGTAACCTGAAGACTGTAAGTGTCAGAGCAGGGATCTTAATGTTTTTCCTCCAGTAAGCTATCTTTACAAAACAAAAATGCCAGAGAAATACTCCTTTTATTGAGTATATATAAGCGCCATGGCAAGTCTTCAGATGCCTATAAAACAGAAACCCTGATCCATTTACTCGTGCACAAAGTTAGGAATCGAAGTGAAACGTAAATCCTGAGCTATAGGTTGGAGACAACTGTGTTAAACAAAAACAGAATAACAAACACTGTAATGTGTGTGTGTGTTGTGCTGTGTTGTGTTTTTGCGGTATGTGCCAAACGATAAATAAATAAAATAAAAGTAAATAAAAGTCTAAAGTCTAAATTAAAATAAATAAACTGTGCACTGATCATATTGGTCAAGCTTAGAACATCATATCAACACAGCGGGTTCTTCAATATGTCCTTCATGATGCACAACACAACAAGTTACTTAAAGGTGCATTGTGTAACTTTTCTGGTGAAGGATACATCAAATGCTGTTCTTCATGTTATTACTTTGGAATGTTTCAAAATATGGCATTAAACCTTTCTATCTTCATGGAGACCAAACCAGAGTAAGTTACAGGTCAGATCTGTGGAAAGGAAACCCTGCTCACAGTCAGAATACCTGCTTTTCTATGTATTTTTGTGCAATAAAACCTAAAATAAAACCTAAAAAGTCTGTTTAATGTCATATTGTTAAACAATCTAAGCAAAGCAATGACATCTACATACAAACAAGCTGAAAAGTTACACAGTGCACCTTTAAACTTTCCGTGGAAGCATCACTCGGGCTTGGGCAGACAATACTACAGCATGTATGTCAATGCAATGTGTTGACCGTTCAAGTCCCCCTGGCCTTTTTAATAACCTTCTCCTGAGTAAGACATCCATATGGCATCAATATTCTATGGACTACCTGTAAAACTTCTACAACGGTAAGCAAACTGTCAGACCCAAGGACACATCTTCAGATCATGAGCAAGATTTGGTCAGGACAACCTCAGCTGAAGGATTTTACTTATTCTGCATGCAGGGCAGTGTTTGTCTGACCGCCAGTGCCCTGTACATTCTGTTCGGCTGCAGAAAGGTCTGGAATGAGTGACAATTGACGGTCCAATCACGCTAATAGGCTCTGTGCACTGCAGCATCCTAGATAGCTCACTGTGTTTCAAAACTAACTTTTGAAACACACAGTATACTTTTATTATAGGGTGACCAGATGTACCTATTTACCCAGGACAGTCTCAGTGTTGAGCCCTGTGTCCCCTGTCCCAGCACATTTATACAAACCAGTGACTGTCCCAGTGTTATAGAAAAAATGTCCCAGTGTGTCCCTATTTTTGACCAATTTGATTAAAACCAGGAATTAGGAAACTAAGATTAAACCAGGACTACATTAGGTCTAAACCAGGACTAAAACAGGATTATCACAATTTTTGACTAATCAGATCCCCGGCAATAGTAAAGGGGAGCAGAAATTGTCATTTCTTTTACCAAAATACACAAAACCGTGTTTGTTGTGAATTACCATAAAGCAAAAAATAAATACATTAAAATAAAAAAATTGAAGTTTCTATGATTATGGCTCTTTTCACAAATTTATTTTTACCAGCCATCCCAACCAGGGTGTGTCCCAGTTTGGAATTCTGAAAATCTGGTCACCCTATTTTATTAAAATTGTAAAACATCAAATAAACAACCTATTGAAACTATATTCAAATAAATACTACTTCAGTTTGTGGTGTTGTTTTAATATGTATTAGGGCTCAAAATTTGCATTAGCGGTAGCACTGAGACACAAACATCTCTCTCTCTAGTCTCCTCCGTTGAAGTATTAGTTTTATTTGTGTATTTTTTAGCGTGCTGTCATTGACGTCCACCCATAGCTCTCTTTTCACCGCCTTATCTTCAAAAATTATTCATTTTAGCATGACTCAGCAAAAATCACACATAAATAAAATTGGACAGGGAGTAGTGACGCTAAGGCTGCCGGGCGCTATTGTGCACAGAGCCTATTCTAAATCTCCTCTTGAGTATTCTTGAACTTCTTTTACCTCAGATACATATGAGTTCAGTGCTTTGCTTGTCGACTCTGCCCACACATCTGTAAAGTATTGTAAAAGTGTGTGGTTTTTTGCTGACCAGGCAAAGGTGGTGGGGAAACAGAAGAAAGGTGCAAACTCCACACAGAAAGGCCCCATGCCACCCCGGAGCTGAACATGGGACCTCTTTGCTTATGGTGTTCTTGATGAGAAAGCACAAGCTACATCACTACACTATTTTTTTAATGTAGAATAATACACTGGATTTATATAGTGGCTTTCAATACACCCAAATCACTTGTGTATTGAATAATATCGTACCCAGGTTGCCGATGTCAGCGAAAGGGTCCAGAGTATTGGGCTTGTTCTGGTGGGTGGGGGTGCTGTGGACGGAGCTGGTGGGGCTGGTGGTGGCTGACCGGCTGCCCATGCCAAATCCTCCTCCTGAAGAAGTGAAAATAAGAACAGAGTCAAGAAATCAAACTACGACAAATACATTCTGGTCCTGTGTAAAGTTAAATATATTTTGGACAGATGCTAGATCAACAATTGGACAAATGATCTGTATCACTCATATTACTGTAATAATACTGTACTGTATTACTCAAAATGTGATGATACTTTACATGAGGGATATTACCTGATTTACTAAACAATGCCAGATACTTATTCAAAAAATCTATGTATGTATGCATCTGAGTGATATGTTTCATGCAAATGTTAAATTCCTTGGCGACTGTACTTAATTTTGTTCTAATACTGTGCAAAATATTCCATAAAAGAGAGACAACCACAAATGTTTTCAGATAAAGGTACTCTAATAGTTTATCATGTAACATAGAACCAGTGTTTTTTTTGTTTTTTTTTCTTTTTATTACAATACTGTTTGACTGCTTTATTATTACAATAAAGCAGTATAATCACATAAAAAACAAATATAAAGAAAAGAGACCAGAGATAGCAGAGGGAGATGACAAATATTTCAAACATTCCAAAAATACAGATTTAACCATCGGTGGTCCCTCTAATATATCCTAGTCTAATTTAAAACAAGCTGATAATAAATTGGTATGAAAAATTATACGTTTTGCATGTTATATTATTAAAAACATATAGAGGTAAGTTTAATCTTTAATACAATATAAATAGGCCTATAAAAGCACCTAGGAAAGTGAGGAATTACACAGATATAAGACCACATGGTAATTTAAAACAAAATACAGTATTTTTTAGTCTATAAATCGCTCCGGAGTATAAGTCGCACCAGCCAAAAAATGCGTAATGAAAAAGAAAAAAACATATATAAGTTGCTCAGTTCCAATTAGAATTATTCCGGCCTTTCTGAATTCCGACAGGATGGTTTTGGTGTGTCACTGAAGTCCAGGCTTTGTTGATCCATCCAGTGACTTCCAGGAAAGTTGCACCATGCAACTTTCCTGGAAGTCACTGGACCACCCATACCATTAAAAAGTGCGCCTTATTGTCCGAAAAATATGGTGCTGTTATTTAATGTTGAAAATCACAATCTATTGTCTATAAAGAGTGTTTTTTGTTATCATTGTGGCATCAGAATCTGTATTAAGTATCAAGTCACTGCTTAGTATTGAAATCAAGTTTGAAATTAGAATATCCTGGCAACACTATGTGGAGCTATATAACGGAGTACCTGTGCTTGTAGTGGCAGGTCTGTTCCAGTCCCAGCCCCCCATGGCGTTCTGCTGCTGTATGTTGACTGTGGGGGTGGTGGGGGGGACCGGAGAACTGCGGCCTATTCAAAAATCAAAAAGTAGGTCACTGAAGGAGCACATTGTGAATGACAAAACCCTCTTAGTCCAATCACATGACAGCTCGGCCTGCCATGAGAGGAGATGGAGAGAAGCTGAGCCATGCGAAAAATGCAAGATGGATTTAAGAGCGCATGATGTAACTTTTATGGTACAAGATCTACCATGTGTTTGTCTCTATGGAGTTACCATTGTCTTGCCTGGAATGTTCCACAGTATGGCATTAAAATGAGCTATCTTGCATATTCAATTACAGGTGTCAGAATGAATTTTGTCCATGTATTTCCAGATAATTAAAAGTGCGTATGTTGTTGTCTCTCCACAAATGTGACCTGTAACTTGGCCTGGTTGCAACCCTGCTTGTCTCGATGAACCTAGACATGTTTAATGCCATACTCTGAAACATTCTAGAGATTTTATTTTTCAAGAAAATGGGAAAAAGTTATATTTATAATGTGAAAATTTTAAAGAGAACATTTTAAGTGTATGTTTCTTACCATGTTTTGTGTCTATGTATGATCTACTGTGGACTGTAATAATGACTTGGTTTGACATTTCGCATGCAAGCTTAGATCACAGAGTTCAAAATGCACCAGGCCATATGCGCAAAGCCAGTTTCTCCTCAAGCATCAACGCACAAAGATACACAAAACAGAATATTTGCAGAGCCATGCCTTCTCACACACTAAAATACCGGCCCTTTCCTACTGTATATGCTTTTAATAACAGGTTGCATTCACATGAGATCATAAAATTCCAGCTTGCCTATAGTTTAAAGTGAAGCAGGGTCAGAATTATATGCTAGAATAATATGCTGTTTGCAGACTTGTTGTTATGTTTAATATCACTGTAATTACCAGGCCTATTCATGTGAAACAAACACTGAAGTCCAATGCGTTCCCTGACAGCCACAATGAACTATTCCTAAGTAGACAGGCAAGATTTTTAGCAGTTGAAAGGACTTAAATGGCCCACGTTACGCAACATTGACTCTTGTGAGCTTTAAGTTATGTTATAATGCTGTCACTTAATCAAAAAACATACCTGGAGTTGTGTTTTGTTTCATTCACATGTGTTTGAGGAATCCTGGATTATGAAATAAATAAATAAAAATATGACTCAAGGTATGTTTGTGATGAGGAAACAACATTATAAGAAAATAGAGTAATATGGGCACTTTAAAGTCAGAAGTTTAATAGCAAATTTGTGAACCCAATATATGACAAAAAAATGTAAGGTTCAACATTTGTGGTTTTCCTTGTCATATTTTTATATCAAGTGAATTACCCATAGAGAAACATTATATAGGCAACTGTCCTCTATCTGAAATATAACACAATTTAACACTGTTATGAAAGGAACCTATTGACAATATGTATGGAGCTCAACAGTTCCACCCATTTCGAAGTCCATTCTGGTTCTGGAAATAAATTTTCTATTAATTTTTCCCACAGACTTTTCAAAACAAGTCCATGAGCTAACCTATATGCATAACATGGTTGTTTTAAGTCCAAAAAGCACGATTAAAGGTGCATTGTGTAACTTTTCTGGTGGAAGGCTCGTCACCTGCTTGTTCCACAGTATGACATTAAAAAGCTCCATCACACATTTATTCAACTACAGGTGGTTTTATGGCTAAAAATAACAGCCACTCTGACTGTGAGCGGGGTCACCTCTCCACAGATCTGTCCTGTAACTTGGTCTGGTTTGGTCTCCATGAAAATAGAAAAGTTTAATACCATACTGTGAAACATTCCAGACAATGCAATAACATCTCCATAGAGAAAAGCATTTGATGGATCCTCCACTAGAAAACTTACACAACGCACCTTTAAAGGCACATAACCAGCTATGTGCTAATTAAAATCCATAATGAGGTTGTTTGAAGACCAAAAAGTTTGAGAAATATATTTTAAATGAAATTGTAGATTTTGTGGTTATTACCTAGCTCATTGGCCCTGAGCAAGCTTTCAAACTTTAAATATTACCATATATTTGTTTGGAAAGTCTATGATAAAAATGAATGGGAAATGTACTTTGAGAACCATGGCTGGGTAGTCACTGTTGAGCTCCACTGCACATATAAATGCAGTCTATAAATAAAAAAAAAAAGTAAAGATAAATAAAATCTTGAGCAGTACAGAGCAGCGTAGCATGCCTTACCCTGACCTGGGGGCTGCAGGGTGGGCGACGGAGAGCGAGCAGCATGCAGAAAGGGGTCAGGCTGCCCCATGTTACCTGGTCCTAAGAGAGAGCCCATCATGTCCTGAGGCTTCGGCATGGGTCCCGCTCCAAACGGGTCAAACGCTGAAGAGAAAGAAGAAGTGTGCACTGTTAGGTAATGTTTTGTTGTTCAGTGTTTGCCCGACCAGCCAGTCCCTCCTACATTCTGTTCAAATGCAATTAAAAGTGTCTGGCACCGGACCACAGAGCATGAAAACCCACCGTCCTAACTTGGGACAGTCCATATCTGCCAATTTGTTTGTGGGAATGGGACAACATAATATGAAAATCCCCCTTCCAAACTTGAGACGATCCAACCACGGTCACTAATCTCTTTCTCAAAAATTCTTTATATCATTCAAAACAAAAAATATAACTTATTTTAGCTTGGTGCTTTGATTGTTGCTTCTATAAAAAAAAAATAAAAATCATTTTTTACGTATAAGTAGCCATGTTTGTTTTTGACATCAGTGGAGCATGCACCTCTCTGATTAGTTAACTCGCCTGCCAATTACGCCCTCTGAAATCAGGGAGACGGGATACGGCTCCAGATCCACTCGTCTTTGTAAAGGTTTGTCATAGAGTGTGGTTTTGGCTGGACAGGCAACTCATTTGTAGTATGTGTCTCTCCAATGTGGAAGACAACTCCTCTAGGTGCAAAATATGTCACTTATTTCAAGTTAGGTTTAAGGTACACATTTATTTACTGTCCCCGTAGGGAAATTTGTCCCCTGCATTTGACACGTCCTCCCAAAGCCGCTGGGGAAACCTGTCAGGAGAAATGAACGGCCCATGCCTTTCTCTAATTGGTTTACCCGCCTGTCAGTCATGCTGTTCTGAAATCAGGGAGACAGGACACAGAGCTCCCTACATTTTTGGCATTTTGTTACAGGGCAGAAATAGAGTTCTATGTCCCAAAGCCTCAAACTTAGACTTAGACTTACATTTTTTATTACTTATTTTTCTATTTTATTTTGACTTGTACATATACATTTACATAATTATGCCTTATTTGACACCAGTCTCTTGGTATCTTTTTTGCGACTTATTTAGAATTTATTATTACCATTTATATTTTTTACTCTTTGTTATTATATTATATTGTGATGTGTGAGCTACTGTGTCCAGATAAGTTCCCTTGTGGATCAATAAAATTTGTCTAAGTCTAACTTAACCAAATTAACTGTATCTAAACCTAAACATAACTTTAACCTTAACATGATAGTGAAATAATATATAGACAAAAATAGACATTTGTCAAAAAAATTAAGCCCCTGGAATGAAATGCTGAACATTCACACATACACAAATTTTGGGATACTTTGACACTGTATTTATTAAAATTATATTGAATAAAATGTTTTTTGTAACATATTCTGATACAGAGTTGGATTTAAATTGTAGTGTCAGGATAAGTTACTAGTGTGTATTAGATATTTTCTATTTTTCCTCATTGATTCTGTGCAGTTTGAACCCTAAATTTTATGATCAAGTACTGCAGTGTATTCCTACCATTTTAGAAAAGTAATTCAACTCTGAGTACCGATAAATGAAAGAGTAACTGTACCGGAGTACTTTTATTCAAGATGTGCATTCTAAAGAAGTATTCTTGATACAGGTATTCGTTTACTTCCCAGCACTAATAGACTCCTACCTGGTGCGGGCGACGGGCAGGGCGAGGCAGTGCTGGGGGGTGCCCTGTGCGGAGTGGACTGGGCAGATGAGGTGGCACTGGTGGGCTGTGGGGTGGCTCCGAACAGATCTCCGAGCAGGTCTGTGGTCCCGGCTGCAGCAGAAGAAGAGGTGGAGGAGGGGGGTGGAGCTGTGGAGCAGGGGGCACTGATGTCCTCTCCTCCCAGCCCCAGAAGGTCCACGTCCTCTGGGGGGGCAGGCTCGGCGGGGGCTGGGGGGTCCAGTTTGGAGGAGGGGGCTGTGCTGGTGCTGCTCCTCTGACTGGACAGAGACAGCATTTCATCGTCCGAGGGCTCACTCTCCTCTCCTTTGCCTTTTGGTCTACTTGGCTCTGCAGGAAAATAAGAAAATTGTCAAAAATTTAAGTTAGAACAAAGTGGCATACTGTTTCATTAACTGGAACCACTTTATAATAACTACACCTTAATTAGCCTTAATAATTAGCATGGACACGTTGTTTTTTTAGAATTATTCCAACCTAGGAACTCCTTTATTAAGAGGCTGAGGTTAGGAGTTACACAAGTCATAATAATTGCTAAGCCTGAATCATAAAACATTTACTCAGTATGAATTAAGTCATTCTTCTTGCTTTATTAAGGCTGTTAAAAGTGTAGTTAGTATAAAGTGTTACCCATTAACTTACTCACTAAGGAGTATCAGGACAAAGTAACTGCTATCTATCTATCTATCTATCTATCAATCAATCGTATAAATAGACCTAGTGCCTATTGTTTATGCAGAGTGATTCAAACAAATACATTCAAAAACTACAATCCAATTAACAAAAAGGGCCTCTATAAAATTATCCATACTATTTAAACATAGACCAGAAAACATTTACAGAAAATATAGGGTATTTAAATCTATATACATCTATCTATATACAGTGCAAAGGTTTGTTATACATTCAATATGATCTATATTCATCACTAAATGGCACTTTCTAAAATTATTGGCTCTAGTCTAAAGTCTTACCCTCCAAATCCAAGCCCTCCATTTCATCTTGAAGGAGCAAAATCAGGATCAGTATTTCACAATATGTTTATGAATAATTCTATATTCTACGAAACTGTGCGTAAATAGCAAACTGAGCATTTAACAAGGATATTTTGAAGAATTTGTATTGTTTTGTTGTATTTTGGGATGATGAAAAGGACAATAAGGTTTAAAAGTCTACTATGTAACTTTTCTGGTGGAGGATCTGCAACCTGCTTGTTGTCATGGATACATTATTGCTTGATCATAACCTTAAAAATTGTTTCTACTTGTCTAACCTTAACCTAAACCCTGAACCCAACATATTTCAACCCATACCTGAACTAATAATAAAGGATTTACATCATGAAGACCTGATATTATTGAAGGCAGCTCTCCATGATGTTTGTGTGTCAGCAGAAAAGTTACATAGTGCATCTTTAATTCAAGTTATGGTGGATATATTGGAGTTGGACTGTGTTTGAGGATTAGCAGTAACACATGTCTGAATGCATGAGTTTACATTACCAGCTATAGCCAGGGCGTCTTGGTGTTCTTGGTGGCAGGAGAAGAGCACGTTTGGGCTCAGGTCTTTACAGGGAAATTGCTCCCAAGGCGGGGTCAGGTCCTTCTGTTTGTCCACTCCCTCCACCTCCACGTCCAGAATTACATGGAAGAGCTGGGGGTACTTCTCTGGAGCGTCACAGGCATCCAGCTCTGGTCTGTACAACACACACACGGGTAATAATTAAAACTTTGTCAACAAAAAAGCTATATTAAAAGTGCATTGTGTAACTTTTTGGTTGGTGGTCCATCACCTGCTTGTTTCTATGGATATGTCACTGCTCACCTTGGAATGTGGCACAGTATGACATTAAATAGTTCTACTTATATTTATTAAATTACAGGTGGCTTTATAGCGCAAAAAACAGGCCTTCTGACTGTGAGCAGGGTTGCCTTTCCATCAGAAATTTAACTTGGTCCGGTTTGGTCTCCATGAAGATAGAAAGGTTTAATACCATACCGTGAAACATTTAAGTTGAAGTAATAAAGCATTTGACGGACTCTCCACCAGAAAAGTTATGCAATGCTCCTTTAAAGATGATCTATTGTGCTTGTGTCTGCTATATAGCTATAATCTATGACATTAAAGTTAATCTGTGTTATAATTTGGACATTTGAAATCACAATATTTGTCTAAATTTACTTAATAAGAGAAACAAGTCTGCTGATTTCTGCCCAAAGGGAGCAGTAAACTTCACCATAACAAAGATCCAGCAACTTCGATGCAGATCACGCTAGCCAATTGTGGTTTTTCTTTTTATTTGTACCAAAATGACTACGCAACTACTTGCATAATGGGGTCTGGTTGTGTGTTTTTTCACGGTATTTTGAACATTATACACTGCTGTAAATGAATAAATGCAAGAGTTCAAATGTTCAATCCCATTCTGTGGAATATTTTAAGCAAAGCAGTAACATCTCCATGGCGCTGAAATATTTTTATTACTTATTTTCTATTTTATTTTGACTTGTACATGTACATTTATATAATTATGCCTTATTTGACACCAGTCTGTTAGAATTGTTAATTACCATTCATATTTTTTACTCTTCGTTATTGTATTATATTGTGATGAGTGAGCTACTGCATCCAAGTAATTTCCCTTGTGGATCAATAAAGTTTGTCTAAGTCCTCCAGAGTCTGTTATGTTCTGTTATGAAATGCAGGTACAGGTGGGGAACTTACTTGTTAAACTTTAATACAGTGGTGCCAGGAGCGATGAAGCCAGTGTGGAATTGAATTTGGAATATCTGAGTGTTGGACGTCTGAAAAACAAAAGAAAAATATGCAGATTAGAATCACTGCATTGGTAACCAGGCCTAATCATATTACATGGCCACGTTTCAGAGGTTTTCTTTTCAAAGGTACAAAATGGGAGCACTGCTTGACAAATGAGGAATTAAACTGTCTTGTTATCTTTTCAAACTTTAACACAAATTTTCTTTATTCCACTATTGATGTCAAATGTAATCAGTTAATCAATAATAGTGATGCTTTAGGACACATTATCAATGAAAGGACAAAAAAAGCTCAAATTCTAACCATTTTAGAAGACTCATTTCAGTCCAATATATACACCAAGAAATGATTTGGATGTTTTAGTCACATTTCCACACTTTCTATGTATGTCATTCAAAAACTTTTATTCATAAGTTCATAAAGCTAGTCACATTATAAAGCTATGGTTGTCAGTGAAAGCAAATTAAGAATTTTACAGTTATTTGGTCTAAGTATCCACAATAAATACATGAAAACTGTGATGTTTCTTCACATCCTAACCCTAAAATTTGATATTGTGTGTTGACATGTAGTGGATGTCATGATAGTGGACCAGACCTCACTATAAATGCTTTATGGAAGTGCACTTAATCATACATTTTCAGCAAAATTTCAATGTACTCTCGGGGTATATACAGACTGATTTTATTTCAAGCTTATGACAGAAGATTTAACTTAACTTCACCTTACACATGTACTGCAAGAAGGAATTACATTACACTGACAACTGAAATAGTCTAATTGTAGCCTAATGATTCATACAGTGTTAGAATAAACATTTTAATAATAGCCGTGATTATTGGCAGACTGTGTGCTGTTTATGACATGCTTTTCTGTTCTGTTCCATTCTAGAGTAAAATCATTAATAACGATTGTACCTTGGCCTGCAGACGTCCTCCTATAGTTGACCTCATGTGATAGACCGCAATCACCACATCTCCCTGTACGCTCACTCCAAGGTTAAACACCACTTTGCCCTCCTGGACCCGGTGCTCTCTGCAAATCAAACAGAATATTCAGATTAACCACAATTTAAAGGTAAATTCTGTTATTTTTCTGGTGGAGTGTCCTTCGTTTGTTGTCTTCATGGAGATGTTATTGCTTTGTCTAAAATGTTCCACGGTAGGTTCTATCTCAAGGGTGACAACTACAGTACAGGCTACATTACGGGTCAGATCTGTGGAGAGGCAATCCTATTCACAGATTGAATTATTTTATTTTTGAGCAAAAGAAACACCCAAAATGAATAAATGCTAGATGGATGTGTTTAATGGCATACCATGGATCATTCCAGGCAACGCAATATCATCTCCATGGAGACAAGCGTGTGACAGACCCTCCACCAGAAAAGTTGCGCAATCTACCTTTAAAGTGTATCATATATGGTTAAACTACCCATTTCACTCTTTTTTAAATGTATTTTTGTGATTATAATGTAACTTCCTGGTTGGATATGCGTACGTAGAGGTAATTCCATGTTGACTAGTAAAGATACTGCATTTATTTTGTTAAATGAAGGTTTAAACTATTTAGACTATTTAGCTCAACCACAACTTGAAGTGCATTATATATGGTTAAACTACTCATTTCATTAAAACTAAGTTAAAGATGCACTATGCAACTTTTCTGGTGGTGAGGGGCAACTACCATGGAGATATTCTGTCTGTAATATTATAGCAAAACAAGGCATTCAACTTATCTATCTTATGTTTTTTTTAGTTTATTATTATTATTATATTATTATTGATAGCATTTATATAGCGCCTTTCAAGATACCCAAAGTGCTTTACAGTTCATTATTTAGTCACTCCACACTCAGTGGTGGTAAGCTACTACTGTAGCCACAGCTGCCCTGGGGCAGACTGACGGAAGCGAGGCTGCCAATCTGCGCCATCGGCCCCTACGACCACCACCATCACTCACGCTCACACCACTTTCATACTATTATTATTATGTATTATTATTACATGTGTTTTTATTTCTCGCAAAAGACTTGAAAAATTGCATTCTTAATATGACTAGAGCTGCCTCTACACAGATCTGACCTGTAACTTGGCCTGGGAGAATCATTATATTATCTCCTTGGTGATAAATAAATGTAATGTAATACTGTGGAAGATTCCAGACAAAGCAATAATAATCTCCATGGAAACGAGCTGGTTTCGGACCCTCCATCAGAAAAGTTACACAGTGCACCTTTAACATAATTATATTCAAGATTTTACTAAAAGAGTTTCATTTTTTTTTAAATAAGTGAACTTTGTGGTTGGACATGCATACATAGAGGTAATTCCGTAACAAAGCAAAAACTTGTTATAAATCGTTATTTTTATTTAATAGTTATGATGAGACTAATAAAAATAAATTACATTGCATTTATTTTGTTTTTATTTTGTATTTTAAGGTTTAAACTGTCATTAGAAAAAAATGATTTAGTGCATGCTAATTGTCTCTACATTTTGGATGGAAAATTCAGTCATGACACATAGAAGAGTTAGAGGGAGTATTCTGTTGAGAACTCGCTGCTACTCTGTCTTAGTTTTTGTCCAAATTTGATTTATTATGTGCCTAACAGTCAAGTGTGAGTGAGTATGTGTGTGTGGTTGTGTTGATTTTGTTGTTTTGTTTTTTCTATGTTTATTTGAATTTATGTAGCTGACTGTCTGCCCTACTGTATCTGCCTTCTGTTCTTGTGACTATGAGGACCTCCTAAAAAACAAGATGGTGAGACATCTCAAGGGGCTTATCCTCCAAACAGAGATAAATTCAAATTCAAATACTTTTTTTCACAAACTGACACTTGTACAACTGATATAAAACTCTGATAAATATTTAGTACAGGTACTACCCCACCAAGTCATAATGAGAAAACCTGTAATAATCAAAATCTCCAACTTTAAACTTGCAGAGTCTGAAAGCAGGACTTACCTCATCTTCTCATACTCTTGTGCTGTGGTGAAGATCTTGGTTTCCCCGATGAGGACGTCACAAAATGGGCGGCAGCCGGTGCGTTGCTTGTTGAAGTACGGGACGGGACTCATGGAGACCGCTTTGATGAGGAGAGGTTTGGAGTGAGGGAGACTGGGCTTCTCTGACACCATGCTGCACACATAGCCTATATACCTGCAGTGGACAGGGGACAGAATGAACAGGCACACATTGCAATAATAGAAATGATGTAATTTCTTGGAAAATTATAACATTCCAACATGAAAAGCTCCTATATTACGCAAAATTGACTCCTGTGAGCTTTAAACCATGTTATAATGTTGTTACCTCCTCAAAAACAAACGTGGAGTTGTTTGAGTGACATTTTATTATTAGTCTGTCTACATCCCCAAAGCTCAAAATGCTCTGAAATCATCCAAATGATTCTAGCAAAGGTGTAGAAAATTGCCCAAATGAGGGAAAAATGTATACAATTTTCAAGCAATCTTACGTGTACTTTAGTAAAATGAGCAGTCCGACCTGTCATATGCACTTTATTTTATTATATTTATTTGATGAGGAGGAGTACAAAGTGGGAGCATTAGTCACTTTTCTACAAGGGAGGTTGATGGAAAAAAAAGAAAAAGACTCTGCTCCCATATACAGCATTTACACTTGGCACAGACACGAGCAACGCAGCACAATTCACTCCCCGCAGCGTACGAAAGCATTTTAATAGTTTAATGGTCTTTTCTGAATGATTTTATTGCCACATTTCCATAAAATTGCGATTGGAAACCCTACTCGAGCGCTGGCAAACACCGGCGACAGTAAAGGCTGACAGGATGATAAAATAAAATGTAAATACAAGAACGTGCGGCCAGCTGCTGAGTGCGGAGAAAATGTATCACTGCCCATAATACCCTATTATTTAAATGTGCATTGTGTAACTTTTCGGGTAGATGGTCTGCCACCAGCTTGTCTCCATGGGGGTGGTATTACTTTGTCTGAAATATTTCACCGTGTGGCTTTAAAGTTATCCACCATTCATTCAATTATAACATGCACACCTATAGTCACCAGGCCATCCTCTGCACAGATCTGACCCGTTATCTCGGTCTGGTTGCATCCTGCTTGTTTCCATGGAGACAGTTAAGTTTAATGCCAAATTGTGAAACATTTGACAAAAAATACAGACTGACCCTCCACCAGAAAAGTTACATAGTGCACCTTTAATACATAGGAGTGCATTATGAAGTCAGATAATGTGCATATGACAGGTTTCTTCAGGTACTTACTTGGTTTGGTGGGAAAGCACCTGTGGTTAATATTTATCATAGTTTTACATCAGTTAAGTGTCAGTTTGTGGAAAAACAAGTTGAGAAGAAAAGTACAAAACCACAGGAAGTAGTGCTGACTTCTAAAATCAACACTGAAAATTCAATCCTAAATCAACATTGAGTTAACAAAGTAGAAGGGATGTCTTCTGTTTTTATTAGTCTAATCATAACTATTGTGTAATTCAGACAAGTACCAAAATTTAGGTTTTGGTACTTGTGTACATTATGGTTGCTAGGTAAAAGCTGAATGCAATTACCTCTATGTATCATATGACACATTATACTGTCAAATTATAAGCTCACACATTTAAAACAGACAAGATTTTACTGAAAATCTTGTCTTTATGTTAACTATGTTGCAGTGAAATTAATTTTCTAGGCTTGTAAATGCTTTTAATGCTGTTATTTATGCTTTAGTCTGTCCTGAGGTCAGCTCTGTGAGGTTTACCTTCAAAATATGGCATGACTGGCGCTCATGTCTATACAGAGCAGACCTGGGCATTGTACAGTGCGCATATGGCTCTTTTGTTGACTCTGACCAGGCCTTTTAAGATAATTTGGAATTACAAAATAAATATATTTTACCATTTTACCTCATGCATGGACTAAAGCTTCATTGCTTTTATTTTAGCTGTGTTTTTTGAATGACATTTTTCTGAGGCAGCCTCACTTTTTCATTGCTTAGTCATAACATACACTCTTATCAGACTTACCAGCTCCTCAAAACAATGATATTTACTGCTTTTTATAAAGAAATACAATAAATATTATGCAGAATTGAGTTAAACATTTTGGTTCTGCCCTCCACAATATTTTCTGTTTCTCATGTGGCCCCATGGAAAAAGTAATTGCCCACTCCTGATACCTCTGAGGGAATAGAGATAATATTGGTTCTATGCGTCTCTCTTTTACATAATATTGTTTCTTTTTAATAATATGCAATATGCAGTATATTCTGTATTTCTTAACAATGGGCCATGTGCTTTTTGTGTCCTTAATAAAGATTAATAACAACCTGTCATATGCACTTAACTAAACAAACACAGTCTTATCTGTCAAATCCACAGTAGTGTAAACCTGTAGTGAAACAAACCTGCGGTGGGAGGGCCAGAGACCAGAGCCGGGCCTCTTGGCACTGAGCAGCTGCATGGCTGGGACGGGGCTGGTGAACAGGTGACAGAAGCAAAACATGGCACACACCAGAACACCTGAAGGAGCACGCCCATCCTAAAAAATACACAAGACACAAGAGGGTTAGAAAGAGTTCATGTTAACGAGAGGGGCATGTATGAAGCATTTGAGGTTACACTGTAAACAATGATTGACGGATTGATTAGTTTTTATTTTGAGTTTGTGCCAATCATCATATACATACTACATATATATTGTAACCAACCAAAAAGCCCATTGCTTGAAAAGGAGAGGGAGGAAGAAAACTTATATAAACCCACTCCTATTCATTACATTACACACTATACATACTAAATGTGTTATAGACAGACCTTTTTAAACAATCTTTCTTTTTTTTGGATTGTACTGTATTATTATTTATTTGTATACTTTTTTTTTTTTTAAACTTAAATCATCATTCACCCTTATATCACAAAAGTACCTACCCACATTAGTTAAAATGAGTGTCTTTATTTATTTTGACTAGATTAATTTGATTAGATTGTCTACATTTTTAAAAATTCATTTCAGTCTTTCATTTGTTCTTTGACTTGATTCAATACCCAGAAATTTTCAGTAAATAAGATAAACAACCCTGTGGGAAAGCTGATACGGTGTGGTCGAAGTAGGAGGCAGACTTATAACAAAGAGTGTCTTTCATCGAAGAAAATGTATTAAAAGAAGATGACTGTTGTGCACTTAAAATAACTTAATTACAAAATGACAAACTGTTCAAAGACTAGACAGAAAGTAAGTCACTTAAATTAAATCCAATACAAAAACCATATCCACACAACTACACAGACGTCGCCCAAATTTTTCTTCTGTGGAGTTTAACAGCAGTTACATACAAAAAGTTGCACTGGCGCCATCTAGTGCCACTAACAAAAACTAAACTAACAAAATCTATATCCTTGCAAACAGAGCAGTTCCAAGTAAAAAAGAAATTAAAGATATTCTTCCATATCTGCTGCAGCTTCAGTCCAGAAGAGTTTTAAAATCAGCCAGTTCTGTTTACAATGAATATGAAAGAACAGCCTCCCAAATGAATTCAACTGCATGCTTTTATTCCTCATCTGTGGGTTAGGACCGCCCAACAGGTCAGTCCATTTGTCTGTACAGGTGTCAAACATTAAGAAAGTACTGATCATTTTACAAGTTTCAGTCTCAAATGTTTTTTAAAAAATAATAAATCAAAAATACAGAAATCTTAAAAAAAAAAAAAAAAAAAAAAACAAACAACAACACACAACTGACACCAAAAAGTTCACCCCTCCACGTGGTCTGACCCATGACCTCAGCCAAAGGTTATGAAATGGCTGACAGTGGGTATGCTCCCTCTTTATCAGGACCATGTGGTGACCTGAGTAAGTCAAGAAAATATGGATGTGTGTAACTGAAATTAATTTGCAAATAATGTGTATTTAAATTGACAATAAGAACTGAGTGTTGTTATGTCAAGTTATTTAGTTGTGTTTTGCAAATTAAGAAAACAAAACGTCCCATATTACACAAAATTGACTCTTATGAGATTTAGGATAATTTGTTATAATATTGTTACCTCCTCAAAAACATACCTGGAGTTGTTTTCATTCACACATGCTTGAGTGACAGCTCATTTTAACTTTAGTTCAGTAGAGACTGGCAATTCCAGGGTTGAAATGATCCAAATGATTGTAGTAAAGGTGCAGTGTAGTTTCATTTTATGTATTTATTTATTTGTTTTGATTTATTCAATATTTTACCAGATAAGTCAGTTGAGAACACCTTCTCGTTTACAATGACGCCCTGGCCAAGAGGCAGTATAAAACAAAAGCACAAACGGGAAACACTCACACATCAACTATAACATGAAACCGTGAATAGAGATATAAGACAATGAAACATTTGCAGATTAAAGATATAAATGTGTTAAAAACATGCACAATTGTACTGTAAAATACCCTGGAAGGAGTTTTTAAAAGTCGACAGAGGTTAAAATGAACTACGATTTTAAAGTCTGTTGAAGGTGGTCCCAGTCACTTGCTGCAGAAAACTGAAATGAGGAATTTCCCAAAGCTGTGTAGTGACTTCCTGTATCACCACATGACATCACAAGGTGGAAGACAGTGTTTTCCAATAGAAAAAAAATTACTTAATAAATATGCAGGCTTTGTGTGTTAAACATGTGAATGAAATGAAACAAAACACAACTCCAGGTATGTTTGTGAAGAGGAAACAACATTATAACATAGATCAGAAAATAGTGTAATATGGGCCCTTTTAAATACACAAGATCATAACTGGTAATGGTCAGTTGTTTGGTATAATATGTGTTCAATTCAGCATCTGCCGGGTCACATGAGGTTACAGAGAGAGGAGTTATTGTGCAACACAGAGCAGCTTGCCAAGCCAAAGGCAAAGCATTGGCAATCACTGCTTCACTGAATACCAATGAATACTGCTAAAACTGGACTAGCACATGACCCAAATATTCAAAACTTCACTTGACTAGATGAAAATATGCTTGTTTTTGTTAAAGTTAAAGGCGTAACTTTTCTGGTGTCATATGCTTTTCTCTGTGGAGATGTTATTGGTTTGTTTGAAATGTTTCAGTATGATGTTAAACAGATCTACCTTGAATTTATTCAATTACAGGTGGATTTATAGCTCAAAAATATCAATAAAAACAAGGATTCTGAATGAGTGGAGTCACCTCTCCACAGATCTGACCTGTAACTTGGCCTGGTTTGGTATTTTTGAGTAATGACATGTCCAAAGAAACAAGCAGCTGATGAACCTCTGAAAATTTCCACAGTGCACTTTTAATGTTAACATATGTAGCGTACCGAGCAGGTGATGACGCACACATTCTTGGGGTTTTGTTTGAGCCAGTTGTGCATGTTTTTACAGACAGCGAAGAGGTTGTGCAGACTGGGGGCCTGTCTGGAGGGCCAGTTACACTCGGAGACCTGGAACACACACAAGTAGTAGGTAAGAACTCAACATATGCACAACATCAATAAAGAAGAAATAAATGATTGTAATTGAGAAACCTTTATTCAACTTAAAATTGTGCATTCATGGTTTCAGCTTCATGTTTTAGGTGATTTAATATTGAGTTTAAAAAGCCATTTCTGCAACCCATGTGTACTAGTATATATGTTTTTGTATTCCACTTTCCAAAAATTTTTATTAAAGATCCTATATTATGCAAAATTGACTATGTTACATCAAAAACATGCCTGGGGTTGTTTTGTTTCATTCACACATATTTGAATAACACTTTATTATTAGTCTATCTACATCGCCAAAGCTCAAAATGCTCTGTTCCACCTTGTGATGTCATGAAGCAGTCATTTTATAGTTAACATCTACCTTTTTACGTTTTGTTCAGTAGATATTGGTAATTCCAGTGCTGAAATGATCCCAATTATTCTAGCGAAGGCGTATAGAGTTTAAAAATACAGTGGAGCACGTCCTGTAAGTTAGAACAGAGTGTTTTCTGTTTGAGAGCAGGACTAAATATGCAGTGTGAATGAAACAAAACACAATTCCGGGTATGTTTGTGATTAGGAAATAACATTTACAACATAGATCAGAAAAGAGTGTAATATGGATAGTATCATGTTTTGAAATTTCATCTGAGAGTGAGAGTCTCTTAACAGTTCTGTGCAGATGAAGTATAAAAATAGTAGTTGGACAGAGAGGTGACTGTCTTAATAACAGGAAAGTTAAACAAGTGATGTGGGAATGTGAGGAGTCTGTTGCATGAGTCATTTCTACATCTACATGCAGAGAGAAGCAGTCTTGGTGTGGTCAACTCCACACATCCTTCTAAGTCCTCTGCACTGTTAATCTGTCGAGATTTTTTTTGGATCAGCAAGGAATATAAACGGTGGAAGGTATCAAGTACAAAAGTAAAAGTACAATACTTCAGTACAAATTTTATGTATCTGTACTTCACGTAAGTAAATTGTACACTGGATACTTTTTACTTCTATATTTGAGAACGTGTATCTGTACTTTCTACTCCACTACATTTTAGATCTGGACTTAAAAGTAAAAAGTGCTGCTTAAATGGCTGAGACTTATATTAGAACACTTAATTTGAGTTTCCATCCCAACTTTGAGAAAACCAAATTACTAGAAATATTAAATCAATTGAATAATTTAAAATCAGCCAAATTCTTAATCAAAATCACTACATTTCATCCTTAAATAGTCTCTGCAAAATACTTTTACTTTTACAGTACATTTTTTAACAGATACTTATAATACTTAAGTAGATTTTCTCATGTCTTACTTTTACGGTAACTTTTTGCCTCTGTATCTGTACTTTCTACTCCACTACATTTTAGATCTGGACTGAAAAGTAAAAAGTACTCTTCTTTATGGTTTGAGACCTGCTGAATTGGCTGAGACTTATTTTTAGCACATTTAATTTGAGCTTCCATCCCAATATTGAACAAACCAAATACTCAAAAAGGATTAGAAAAATTAAGAAATCAACTAAATCACTTAAAATCAGCCACATTCTTAATCAAAATCACAACATTTCATCCTTAAGTTGTTCTAAAAATCTCTGAAAAATGCTTTTACAGTACATTTTACAACAGGTAGTTATAATACTTAAGTAGATTTAGATTTTCTCATGTAATACTCATGTAAACTTTTTGCCTCTGTATCTGTACTTTTACTTAAATAACAAAACTGAGTACTTAATCCATCTCTGGGAATAAAGTATAACCTCCCTAATTCTTAATTTCTGAGCTGCATATGGTCCCATTCATTTCCTGCTTCCTCACCCTGTTGGAGAACTTGGCCCCGCGGTAGTTGCGCTGTGACAGGTTGAAGACGGTGTAGTGGTCGGCATGGCGACTGTCCAGGAAGGAGCGGATGTCCTCCACGTGGTTCTGGTAGCCAATCTGAACTGACTCGGCTGGGTATGTCATCACTGTAACGGAAAATAAGTTAGCACAACTCATACACTCCCAAAGATCTCTGCGTTCTCATTCAAACTCTCCTCATGCTGGCCAAATATCATATACACAATTCACACTATAATAACGAAATACACCACTATTACTAGACAATAAAAACAATTAAAATAAAAAAAAAACTGTACTAAAACATACAATATCTACAGGATTTTTTTTGGCGTTTTTTCCTCTTGTGTAGTTACAAAGCATGATATATTGCTACTAGGGATGGGACAAGGTTTTGAGAGACAAAACTGCCAAAAGACCATGAAGAAAATGACCTTGTGAGATTTTTTTTTCACATATTTTTACATTTGCCTTGGATAAAAAAGATTCACCTTGCTGAGTAACTCCTCTTGAGAAGCTGTGATACCAAAAATCAGTGCTACAATGACACCAAAACTGTCAAATTAAAAACATAAAAAAGAAGCCAAAATTATGAACTGAATGGCACAATTTATTTATTAAAATTGTATCAAAATCTCGTCTTGTCTTGTTTTCGTGAGCCAAATCTCATGACATGTCTTGTAGAAAGAGTCTTGTCCCATCCCTAATTGCTACATAGAAATATTGTGATACTATGTAAACTATAATATTGAAACTACTTTATGCAAATGACTCAAAGCAGGATAATCCCAGTAAACAATTTTTAAACAGAATCATAAGGCCTGAGCTGCAACAAATAAATGGCAGAATGGAGCTATAATTCGTCCTGGATGTTACTTTTTACTTGAAAGTAGCAGAAACGTCCTCACTATTGATTCACAATTACCAAAAACATACACATGGTAAATATTCAGCACCAAAATATAGTGTTCTGGTGTACTGAACGATGATATAGTAATTATCGTGACAGGCCTGTACTTGGGAACCATTTGGAGTAAACTGTATTTGCTGTGTAGTTATAACTATATTGGGAAATGGATCCTTGATCACATGGGGATGAAAGGCATAGGCCGCTGCATATCATAGTTAAGTTAAAACATGTTTATGAGTCAGATCTACCCGGGGGGCACGCCACATAGTGGTGCTGAGTTGCTACAGTAACAAGCACCCAGAAACAAACCTGATCAGGACCAGACTAACTGTCAAGATTATTTTAGCTTTGTCTCCAAGAATGTCTAAAACAGTTGAGTCAAAAGTTTCTGACACTGCACTCATCAAAAATTCACAAACCATATAAAAGCCTATTGCCATTATTTTATTAAAATGATCTTGCACATGTGGCTGTTGTGAGGGGCAGTGCAGCTTTAACACACAGACAGGTGTTGGTTTGGACTCTGAGGATGAACTGATTTTTAGTGGGTTCTGTTCGCTCTTTCATCACATCTTTCTCTCTATTCTCTCGTCTCTTGCTCCATGTCAAACTGCAAACAGCTTTGCTTGGATTTTATCGTTTCTTGTTAGGCTACATGTGAAGAATTCCGTTACAGCTTCACTTTTGCGCACAGCAGAACTTAGGCTCTGCACGTAATACTGCGCATCAGGAAGGGGTCAGGTAACTTCATGCCCTGGGCATATTAACCAGCCTCCTCTCTGTCCACGGAGCGACCGGGAGAGGAGGGGGAGTTGTGTCTTTCCTTTTGCTTCTCAGATCAGAATCACTGGAAAAGTTCTGTGGCCCAAATCGACCCCCCCACCCCTCCCTCCCCAGTGTCCAACATAAAGACACTGACAACAGTTTATGTTTACCTATAATCCTTGATGTGATGTATGCGATGTCCAGCTCTCCTTTTGTGTACCTGCAAGAGACAACAGACATATGAATGAGTTAACATTTTAACATTAGTAATTCTTTTATCTCCTTTTTATTCTTTATACATGTGAACCAATTGTTTTTTTTTTTGTTTTTTGTTTTTGTTTTTTTGGTGCTGTGCAACTTTTCTGGTAAAAGGTCCAGCACCTGCTTGACTTAATTTTTTCCTGCAATGTTCTACAGAGACAAGCAGATGGCCGACCCTCCACCAGAAGTTACATGGTGCACATTTAAGTATGTTTCCTTTCAATTTACTTGGAGGAGACATAAGCAGGGATGCACAGATTACAGGCACTGGTATCAAATATCAGCATCGATAAATTTGCTGGACCCAGGTATCGGTTCCATGATATCGGTTACAGGCTGAGTTTGACCTAGAATGCCTCATAATGTTTAAACTTATATTAATAAAGCTGTATTATTTTTGAGCTGTAAAACCACCTGTAATTGAATAAATGAAAAGTAGAATTGTTCAATGTCATACTGTGAGATATTCTAAGCAGACAAATGACATCCATAGAAACAAGAAGGTGACAGACCCTGCACCAAAAAGTTACACAATGCACCTTCAAAGTCAAAGTATCATCAGCATCAGAACTGCGAAAGATTGATTATTGCATCCTTAGACATGAAATAACAAAACTTAACAACTGACATGTATTAATTGGTACAAAAATGGACACCAATTTACAAACCCCTAGTGTCTGTATCATAGCCACACACTTCTTGAACATTTTGAACCCTGATGAAATGAGTGCTTGAATGTCCAGAAGGTGCAGCAGGGTTGAAGTCATGCATACATAACGTTAGACTGGGCTCCATGTGCACGCCGCCATTTTGAGGTCCACATCACTGCCCAGCCACGATCAAAGACAACATATGGGGCCTAACCAACAGAGTGTCCCGCATTCGTTCATGGTTCAGTAATATTATGACTAAGCTTTTTTACCAGTTAAAGGTGCATTGTGTAACTTTTCTGCCTGTATTGTTCCACGATATGACATTAAACGGCTCTACTTTACATTTATTCAATTACAGGTGGTTTTATTGCTCAAAAATACCTAGAAAAACAGACATTCTGACTGTGGGCGGGGTCACCTCTCCACAGAGCTGATCTGTAACTTGGTCTGGTTTGGTCTGCATGAAGATAGAAATGTTTAATACTGTGAAATATTCCAGACAAAGCAATAACGTCTTCATGAAGAAAAGCATTTGACGGACCCTCCACCAGAAAAGTTACACAGTGCACCTTTAAGTAGGAAAGGTACCCAATATTATGTTTTCAAGTATGACCAGGACTAAACCAAGTACTAAACTAGTTCAAAATACAGTAACATTACATGGTGCAAGAAGATAACAAGAAAGCGTTATGGATTATTTTTTGAAAAGTTGTTGTTGCTTTATATTAAAAGTAATATGAGTTTAGTGATGGTGTCTGCCATATATCCATGGAGATGTCATTGCTTTACCTGAAATATTCCACAGTAAGGCATTAAGTAAATGTATAAGTTGTGGATGTTTTTATTGTTTTAAAAGTCTGATTTTTAGGCTCTGTATAGCAAATAATGTAGACTTTTTAAGTACTGACTTGACATCATATTGCTTTTTAGGGAGTTATGATGATAGTGGTAGTTGTCTATAACTTAGAGTTGCTGGTTCAATTCTGACCCATTTGCTGGGACAGCACGCTGAGGGGTGTACAGGCATCTCTGATGGTGGAATGTTTAGAGGTTCAAATTAAACAGAAACGCACATCAAAGTTCTTGTAGATAAGCAAATGCAAGGAACAGCAAAATAAAAAAGTGGAAAAAAAAATGCATAGCACACTCAGATGGTCGATGTCCAAAAGCTTTTTTAAATAACGTTTTGGCAAAAAAGCCTTCATCAAATAATTTTTCTTGCCTTGGACCATAATATACTGTCATACATCTGAGTGTGGTATGAATGTTTAGGAGTTACCATGGTGACACAATGCATACATTAGCACACACTCAAAAAGCTATTAAGTCTGAAACTCAAGAAAAACACAAAATGGATTTAAAGAGCACATTTTCAGGAGCTTGTGATCAATAAAAGCTTTCATGGTCCTGTTTTGGGGTTTGATTTTCAACAAAAAAGTGAGAGACTAGCTGAAAAACTGTTGCCCAATGCTCGCTTGCTTGTGAATGTAACTTTATGTGAGCTCAACATTTGCAGTTGCAGCTAAGTCTGATCTTTCTGGTCAGATTGTGTTAAAATAAAGCACAGATTAAACTTTAACGAAACTTCAGACAGAGCAGAGCCTACAGTTAGCCTCACACCCCCAGAGAATGTTGATGACATCAGCTGCCCCCTGCTGGCTGCTCCATTCACTGCAGTGTCTTTCCTATATTAAAAGATGGAGACACACGATATAAAAGTCAGTCAAGGATACACGTTGACTAAGATGGATTGTGTCTGGTGTCGGGAGGGGTGTGGTGGGTATCAGGATGAGAGAAGGGGCGGGGGGTGGTTTGTCTGGGTGGGCTCCAAGGACACTAAAGTCATTCAGAAATCTGCCCCCCCCTCTGTCTGTGTAGCACATGGGGAGGTGTTGTCCCCAGATTGGTTTCTCGACAAAATTTTCTCGTCGTCCAGGTAAACAAACAAGCAGGTCAAAGGAGTTTAATTATTCAGGAGGGCTGTGGCCTTGAATACAGATGAGAGGAAGGGAACAGGCAGTGAAACAGAGCTGCTGTCAAAAAGAGGCTGAGCTGCTTATGAACATTGGCTGTAAACTGTTGGAGAACTGGATACAAAAACTATTATGGCTCAAGTAGTTCTCAAATATATTGATTTATCCCATTTTTATTTTCATTTATTTATTCTAGTTGTAAAGCTTGTGAGCTTTAAACTATGTTACAATGTTGTTACCTCATCAAAAACTGATCTGGATTTGTATTATTAGTCTGTCTACACCTCCAAAGATTCCACCTTGTGATATCATGTAGTGGTAGTTTTCAAGTTATCGAATTTTTCGGACTATAAGTTAAAATTTTCACACTGACAGCCACGAGAGGCTCTAGGCTTGTGTGTCAGTATCTGCTACTCCTAAAATTGCTAAACCTCTGTCACTTCGTCCTCTACTGCGCATGTCTCCTGCAGAAAGAGCGTCTGTCCTGCTGCAAGTAGTGAAATATGCAGCTGAAAATGGTAATCGTACAGCAGAAAGAAAGTTTGGAGGGAGAGAGGAACTTGTGAGGGACTGGCAGAAAGCGGGGATGGAGAACACAGCTTCACAGTAACCGGGTTGGTGCACCATGCAACTTTCCTGGAAGTCACTAGATGGATCACTGGATGGGGTTCAGAAAGGCTGAAATATTTCTAACTGGAACTGATGCTGCGTCTGACAACAGCTACGGAGAAGAGGAAGTGGCGTTCCATTTACCTCCGGAGGTCGCGGATTTTGTCAGAAGTGACACCGAGGATGAAGACTTCAGTGGATTTAGTGATTTGAAGTGAGATGGAGAGTTTGGGAAACTTGTTCTGTTTGTGCTATAGTTATCTGAAGAACTCTTAATGTGTTGTTCTCTGTTCTATTGTCTATACTATAACTTGCCTTTGGAGATGAAATGTCACTTCCTGGTCTCTGATTTTATAATATAAATTTCTCCCAAAAAGTGCAACTTGTGTTTTTTTTTTCCATTACGAATTTTTTAGCTGGTGTCACTTATACTCCAGAGCGACTTATAGTCTGAGATTTGCAATTCTAGGTCTGAAATCATCCAAATTTTAGTGAAGGTGAATGGAGTTTAAAAACGTAGAGGAGCACTTCCTGTATTAGCATGTCACAAGGTGGAGCAGAGTGTTTTCAGTTTAAGAGAAGGAATCAGACTAAAAATGCAGGGTTTGTCAGTGAAACAAAACACAACACCAGGTATGTCTGATGATGAGGAAACAACATTATCACATAGACCAAAAAATAAATGATGTAATATGGGACTTTTAAAGTTGGACTAAACACTAATATACTTTTGCAATCAAACTGAGTATATGGTACCATTATCTACTGTCCCTAGATATTTTTGGCCATTTCAGTGCAACCCTTGAGTACATGGAAAAATCCAGTACAGGGCCAGAGTTTGAAGTGTAGATACCTGTTCAGCCAATCACACTGCTCCCTACAGCTCCAGACCCCTCCCCTCATCTCCCCTCACTCTTTCCTTTAGTCCACAGACACTTCCCAGTTTAGCAGCTCTATTTCAAGTGTGGTTGTGGGTGGAGTTTATGTGTTTAGTCTCACTTCAAGATGATAAACTAAGGCAGGTTCTGGGGGGGGGTCCTTTTTACAAAACTTTAATAGAAGTTAATTGTATTAACTGATTTTTTTTTGTTTGTTTGTTTGATCGTAAATAAATAAATGAAAATAACACAGAACTCAACCAGCACTGAACCAATGCTACAACAGGCTTAAAAAGGGCTAAAACTGGACTAAACCAGGACTGAGCAGGACTTAGGCTACGTTCAGACTGCAGGGTTTAATGCTCAATTTGGATTTTTTTTATGAAATCTGTTTTTGTTGCAAGGTCGTTCACATTTCCAATTAAATGCGACTTGTATATGATCTCCAGTGTGAACTTTAAACAACTCAAAAGTGTCCTGCATGCACATTGGACGATAAGACGACATAACATGCAGAGAGTGTGCTGTGTTTACGGAAGTCGCCTAAACGCTGGGATTGTCTCCCAAAATATGGTCCAGTTCTTCGTAAAATGTACAGGTTACACATCCATGGTGCATCGTTTGTTGGAGTCTTTATCCTCCTTGTATTTGGCTCACAAGCTCTTTATTTTTTGTTGACAGTGGAGCCAGGACGGCCTGTAAAAAAAACGCTTGGTTCTGATAAAACCCCTCCAATTTGGCCTGAATACAGCGATCCCTCCAAATATTATTAAACTCGCTAACCTCGCTTTCCCTCCATTGACGAGACTCAGAGCCTGACGTGTAAGTGAGATGAATGTGACCTGG